TGAGACAGATTTCAAGCCAAGTACAGTTTGGGAACAATTCATTTATATTTACCTTAATTGTGTTACTCAGTATTTTATCTGGCTGTAAGACAAGCTGCAGTGTCATTGCCATTCTATTTCAGATTGGAAAACATCCACTAGATCTTGTATGGAGCAGAAACAATTCAAAGTCTCTGATCTGCCCTGAGGTGTCTCCAGTAGATATTGTAAAGGCTGAAAGATTTCTCTCTGCCTCATTAATAAAGCTATCATCTAGGCTCAAAAGTAAGATAGGCACTGGTTATTCATATAACCAGTATCCATTTTATATTTAATTTAGTTCCCTGTGGAAAGCAAATGAGATGTAATACTCATGCATTTCCTTACTTTTCAGCCAAACCTAAAGAAATTGCTCCCTTCCTTATCTCTCAGCATTAGATAATCCCTGAACTAAATAATTATTTTTTCTCAAAGATATCTTTGAACTTCCAGTTGTTTCCATAGCCACTCTAGAACATCTGCATAGCTTTTTCCCTCCTGCCCCATCAGCTTACATGATACTAGAGAGGCCATCTCAAAAGAAGAACAGGGAAACTGTGCCTTCATGGTTTGAATGTTTCTTGCTATATCTCCTAAGACTTCAGTAAAATCACTGGTTACTGACAGCTGAAAGGCCAGTGGCCTTTCTGACCTGGAAAACCAGCTGAAAAACCATCAAGAGGTTTCAACTGGTGATCACTCAGCCTGTAAGCAAGGCTCATATCAAACTGAAATTCTTTGTGGTCGTTAGATACTTGTAAAGTTGTCGATTTATGTCCAATCTTCTTCAGCAGAATTTCCACAGTTCCTGTATATATAACCATTCTAACTTGCCTTGCAGAAGAAATGCTACTGCAGTTATTGATCTCAAAATGCACACCATGGTCTTTCCTTGTTTCTTTGGACTGTTTTCCATCAACTCCATTTTATACCATACGAGAGTAGTTTGTAACCAAAATTGAAATCTAAATAAACTGGATATGGAGTTCAATGGTGCCAAAGTCCAGGGTGATTAGATCTTGGGCTTTGATCCAGATGCATCTTGCTGATAAGTAAAGAGAATATATCAATCAGCTAGTTACAACAAGTTCTTGGCCTGTATATGGAAGCAGAAGATGAGGAGGAGGAAAAAAGGATATACCGTTTGATAATTGGTAGGTGACAGCATGCTGTATGTGCAGCCTGGGGAAACAGAGATCCATTCAATCCGCCTCACAACAGACTCAGTAACTTCACTGGCCCACGCACTCTTCCGTCTCAAGCACCCAACATGTTTCATAGCCTCCAGTCATCAGCCTTGGCGCCAACAGATGAATCATATCTCCTGTGAGTGTCCCTGCTGCAGTAACTTATTACATCCTCTGCAGTTAGATAGCACTTGCCAATTCCAGATCTCAAAACACTGCATTAATGTGGATGGGATCAAATATCTTGCATGTAGCCATGGGAAATCAACCAGCATTAAGATCAGAGACCACACCTCCTCACTCTCCTTAAATTTTCTGATCCCTAGGTCACAGCACCTTCCTTCATTACGTGTGCTTAACAATCAGTGGTAAGCACTTGTGATAGGCAGAAGAGTTTTTCCACATTCCAGAAAGGCAGCAGATAATTAAAAGGCACATTTATTTTTAGATTTATGTTAGAGTCAGATAGTAGCAGTTCTCTAGTACTTGGTTAGCCAAGTTATTTCTATTTTCTAGCTTAGTACTCTACAACAGACTACCATTCTGGATTTGACCAAGCAGAGGGATATAACCATGGGAGCAATGGTTTCCACCATCTGGTACAGGCTTTGTATATCAAGATCATTGGTATCTCAAGTCATCAGGGATGCCCCTCTTGATTCAGATCAGTCATTCATAAAAGCCTTATTGCCTACTGCCCAGAAGCCTACTACATTGGGCCATCTTTAGCCTAGCTCTGGAATAAGATAACCAGCAACATCCACACCCTACCTAAGGGAAAGGGAGGGACAGCACAGCACAGTAGGGCACAGTCCCCACAGTACTTGAACAAAGTAAGGATAAAAGACTTAGAAATAGCCAGATTCAATCAGGAATCCAGATCATAAAACACATTCATGATGATGAAGAAGCAGGTCTAGGGTCAAGCCAGGAAAATAATCCACAGCTGAGAGTCAGAATTAGGTAGGATAAAGATTACTAATATCAGACCCAATCCTTCAATTACTAGCTAGATACACAGCAACAAGGCAAATGTAAGGTCAAGCTGAGAATTTGATCTATAGATCACAATCCAAACTCACACATCACTACAGTTGCACTCAAAAACAATACTCCTACAAGACAGCTGAGACTAGATGTGAAACCCAAGCCTGAGCTTAAGTGGACCTATGGGCAGAGGGTGTGGGTGGTGGCCATGTGAGGTGTGTCAGGGCTGTTAAGGCTATTAGTGTACTTCAGGGCCACAACATAAGTTTCTGTAGTCTTTGTAGAGTGTGCTTAGGTGCAAGAACATCACTGGTGCTTATTGTGACTCTGCTGTAACTCCTTCTGCACCTCTACTCCAGAATTTTTCTGGTATCATAACCCCAGCCTTCAACAGCAAGGACACAGATGAGTTGTGGTCTGCAGCAGCAGGTAGGCATTATTAAGAATTGCTGGTGTTAGGACTCAGTGTGAGGGTCAGTATACAACTTCAGGAACTCTCAAGCTGGGGAACGTGCCCAGATGCCTCTTCTGGCATTCCTGACTGAATTCTCTAATCAGGGTATTTCAAACTCTCCTCGAGGATACCTTTGCTGCGTGAGAGCAGAGAACTGGTGTCACAGAACTGTAACTCTATTTTTCTCAGTTCTACCACTCCTGTAGTCGCCATAGACTATTCAGAGCTCTGTTACCTTTTACACAGGGGCTTTTTACATAGAAGGGTATATATTCAAAACCCCTCCTTGCAGGTTGATGGTTTGACTTCATGATCTTGGAGGTTGTATTCAACCTTAACAATGATTCTATGATTTTTTGTGTGTTGAAAGGGCAGATGGCAGTGGTGTGGGACAGATTCATGTAAAGAATTGACTTGGACTACAAATAAGTTGCACTCCCAGCCCTGTTCAATGGGTAGGGCCCCTGTGGGATGTGATTCTGTGGTGTTGATACAGCTGAGGAACTCGTCCCCTGAGAAACTACCTGTGGGATGGAAAGGGGCTGTGAAACTCACAGGGGAATTAAGGTAAATACAAACTATTGAGATATCTTGTCCCAATTATCCTGCTCAGTTTAAGCAGTTCAGTACACAAGCTTCAGGAATTAAACATTCACATAAGTCTGGCTCCTTCTAGACATTTGTTAGGCTACCTTTCTACTGGATCTACTTTTCAGTGTTTCTTTCAGGAAGTATTTATTTAAATTGTCAGACCAAAGCATTGCAGCCAGTATGGAACCATTTGCTTTTTTTTTAATCTCTCAGCTGGCTTGTTTGGTTTGGGTTTTTTCTCTGACAAAAAATTTACTTTCCCCAAATAGTGTATGTGAGAAATTCAGACATGAACTTCAAACCAATGCTCAAATTGGGGGAAAAATTAGGACATTTCCAAGTCTTAAAAAATCATTTAAATTATGTTTACCCTTTGAAAATTGCTTTAAGAAGGCTGAAAATGTTTAAGTCAAAGCAAAACATTTTTAACACGGTCAAACTGAATATTTCTGTTTACATTGAGAATTTTTTATTTAAAAAAACAAAACCTTAAAAGTTAGAATTTAGTGTTGAACTTGGCTGTTATTTGTTTGAATGTTTTCATTTTACCCAATTATTTATATGGGTCACATTATATAATGTCTTTTCCCCAAAGGGAAATCAAGTTTTTGTGGGAAGTGACTTTGCAGGATGAAGTGTTCCATGCTTCCCATGAGGTTAAAAGTACAGTTAATTTTATCCCTTGTCATGTTTACTGTACACCTTTTGACTTCCTGCTCAAATTGCAAAATGATGCATATAAACAGCATCAAAGCACATAAGAAATGCTAAAAATATGGAGAAAGACTTCTATTAAATAGTTGGTAGGAATGACTTTTTGATCCAGGGTTTGAGGTTGGGTAGAAAGGCAGAAGTGTAACTTCCTTCTGCTGTTGCTGGTTATCCATAGTATCAGGATGCTTTCTAAGTTTGTTGGCCAAGGGATTATCAGTTAGCTAGTCTTCACTGTGCTGAAACCCTAATACAGATGGTTAGTGGGAAAATAACTGCAAGAGCCTGTGTATTCGAAACAGAGACAGTGGTTCGGATCCCACTTCTATCCTCACAAGTGTGTAAATCTGAGTTCATGACACCATGAACTCAAAGAGTTACACTTATAAGCAGCTGGTTCCACTGGCAGCTAAAGGTCCAAAATATCTTAGCCATTGCTGCAGTCTGCACATTGAGAAGTACAATCTCGAACAAGAGCCAGAGAACCTCTTCCAGTATTGAAGATACAACTTCATGGCCAGTATTCAGTATCCAGGATATGACAGATCATGGCAGAGGAGAAAGCTGCCAATCTCAGATGCCTTTTGTCAGCATACCTCAGCAATACAAACCTGCAGGATGATACTGCAGGGCATGTACATTGCTAGGGGAATATTTACCCCCTTTTTGACACTTGCAGAAGGACCTGCTCAGCAGATGGGGATGGAGAGGAAGGAGGTTGAGCAAAGAGGAGCCCAGGATCAGGATGTGCCCATTACTCATATGCAATTATGGTGCAATTATCTATCTATATTTTATAGATACTGTTGAACAGTATCTACCTATTTCAACAAATGTTTGTCTTTTCCTCCCCCCCATTACTGACTTCTGGCTTTGCCTCCCCACCAGGGAGGGGTGAGGGTGAGCTTAGTAAGCAGTACAAATAAAAATGATGGGTGCTAAAATGTAACCCTATCCTGCCAGGCTGTCCGTGCAGGCAAGAGATATTTTTCCCTCTCGCAGAGAGCAGTAGGTCGTTTCTCCCTCAGCTCACCGGAATGCCTCCCCGTGAGGGATGCAGTGCGCAGCAGGCGGCCCAGCACGCCGCTGCCCTCAGGACCAGCGCACTTGGTATTTCTTATAATGCAGAAGAAATCACGACGAGTCAGGTTCAGCTCCTGATCTGATCCTTGTCGAGTCAAAGCATCTGTTGAGCGCGACCGGAGGAAGATGCAGACCGGGAGCGGGGATCCGCGCCGCTCCCTGCAAGCGGCACATTGATCATTGGCCGCGTGGCCAATTAGCGCCAGGAGCCAGGTCCAGCCCTCGTGTCTGCGCTCTGGTGATCTATCGCCAATAATTACCGACACACTTAATGCCTAGTTTGGATGGGAATTAATTGGAGGCTGGATAAATAATGCATTAGGGTTTATCCAGCCCCCATGTGAAGCGTCTCCCCCGAGCCAGAGCTGGAAGCGGCGAGAAGCGGCGAGAAGCGGCGTCTGAGCGGCGGTGGCGGCGATGCGCGGGGCGGCGGCCGGGCCCGGGTGCTGATGCTGCGAGCAGCGCCCAGCCGGGAGCATGCTGAGCCCCAAGATCAGGCAGGCCAGGAGAGGTGAGTGTGCCTACCCCTGCGCCTCGCGTTGTGGGGAGGGAGACCATCTGCCGGCACCGGGAAACTTCGCGGCGGTGGCGGAGAGACCCTAGCGCTGCCCGCGGAGTATCCCCCACCTGGGCTGCAGGGGCTGCCCGGCAGAGCAAGGCTGATACCCCGCTGGCCGAAGCCAGCCCTGGGGAGTTCAGCGGGAATGAACGTTCGGGGAGAATGAAGCGCAGGAGGAGACCCTGGGCTGGTGTTCACCAGCGTGGTCTGCAATTTCAGGGCTGAGCAGCAGGGACCATTAAAAAAATTGTACTCTGTCCTGGGACTCGACGGAGCCTTTTCACCCCCGTGCTGGTTGCTAATGCTGGTTTCTAACGCTGAATTCATTACAACAGTTGGAGACAGTTGTGACAAGTTTACCTGCAGCATCTTGGAGAAGCAGTTTGCTGTAGCACGTTATCCTTCCAGGGCTGGAAGCAGGAGGTGGAGATACTCGTTCTGTGTGAGCTTGTGGGCAAGACAAAAGGGAGGAAGGAAAACATACCCTAGGTTTGCAATAGCTGCTTTGAGCAGACCTCTGAGTGTTGTGTGCAGTGTTTGTAAAGCAATTAGCTGGGGCTGGGCACAGCCATTGTCTCCAAGTCAGGTCACCTGGAAGAGATGCTCTGGCAGGGGATGTATTGTGTGATCTTCACCAGTTGCTCGTTTGACATGGCGTTTGTTGATCATTGCTGCCACTCACAAACTAATGAGAGTCTCAGAGGGATACATTTTCCTGCACATTGGCAGCAGATTAGACTACTGTCATTTAGGAGCTAAAACAAACACAGTCAGAAGAGTATGCAAAGATTAGGGTATTCTTCAGCCTTGCCACCAGTATAAAGTAGGAAAAGCATCACTGCTTCTAGCTACTGTGATTCTGAGGTACTTTCAGCCAAATGTCACTTGACTTCATATATATGAAAGCAGTATTACACGATGAACAGTCCTTAAAATACCAGCAGCCCATTAAACAGCTGTTAGCATCTTGGAAGGAAGAAGCTTCTTGCAGTCTGCAGGTGTCAGGATCAGATATGTACTACCACACCCTCAGTAAAGTCATAAGTACTTATTTTTTAGTTACGCAATTTCGTAGAAGTTCAGCAAGTCTTTTGTAGATGCTGCCTCTTTGCCATCCCCCTTCTAAGGGGTGTCTAATCTCCTTTTAATACATGTGTTATCCAGCATTCCTGTTTGCTATTATAGCTCTGATGAGACAAGCTAGATGTTGTTTGTAGAGTGGTACAGGAATTCTGTATCAGCACAAGGAACACAGGGTTTCAGAATGGCATGTTTGCCATTCTGCCACTCTCTTCAAATCATCTGGAAGAGACTTAAGTTGAGCATTAACAAATATTGAAATCTAGTTATGGGATTGTAGATCCCTATGGGCTACTGATGCTTGGGGGACAAACTGTAGTGTAACTCTGTGACTCAATTTATAGGGGTATGTGTCATTCTCTCATTAATTGTGCAGTGGTAGGTTTATTTCTGAATGAATTTAGAACTTGTGAAAAGAGCTGACATGATGGGTTTTGAAACTTTTGAAACTACTTTTGCAATGGTGTGGCAAAGCACTGCTAATCTCTGGCAAAGGTTACCAAGTAGGACCTAATCCTGAAAGGTTCTTCTATAGCTCTTGTTCACAGGAACTGTAATCAGGTGGTGCTGAAGATGCTGAATGCTTCTTGAAGGTAAGAGTCCCACCCTGCGAGACTAAGGTGAATGTGAAATGGTAGATCATGCTCCCTGGTGTCTCAGTTGGGATTGCTAATGAAGGTTCAGGTAATAAATGGTGGACAAGCAAAATATTCAGAAGGCTGCAAGAATGTGCTGTGTACAGTGAGGGCAGGAGATCTGCTGCAAGCTGCTGCATGAGCTTGGCTGACTTCTCAGAGTAGTGATTGTCAGCTCTGCCACTGAGGACTTAGTTGTGTAAGAGAGGCAGTGTGAGTTCCCTGAGCAGACAGAATGAAGAGAAGGGAAAAGGAAGGATAGTCTGGGTACAAGTCTGTGGTTTCACTTGAGTGTGACAGGAAGCAGCAGTTAAGCTGAACCTAGGGATGTATTTGTAGAATTCTTGAGGTTCAAACCCCTCTGTGTGGCTAGATAACTCTGCTTCAGGCTGCAAATAGGAATGCTTCACTGACGTCTCTTTTATTTCCAATTCTCTGCTACAAATGTACCTTTAAACCTTCAATCATGACATCTGATGCTGTCATTTTTGTTTGACTTGTGGATTGTCCTTAAGAAAGCTCCTGGGTTTAAAGACATTCAGCCTTTTGAAAATGCTGAGTCTGGACTTGAGCTTGACATCCAGTGTGTAGTTCTTAATATCTTTGAAAGGTATGGTAGAGAACAAAAATAATTTGCCTTACTAAAAGTAAATGTCAAGTATAACACAGTCCTTGCTGTTCCATCAGCAACCTTACATCCGTAACTCAGAAATATGCGTATAGAGGTACATTGTGTTTTCATAAGACCTAGGAAGGTGTAAAATCTCACAGATTGAAAATCTTAATGTGTATAAATTGTCCTCTGGAAAATCATTCATCCTGGTAGGCCTGAATGGATTTTGCATTATTTTTTCATCTAGTGGTTTATGTACAGCAACTGGAGGAGTACAGGAGCCTGAAATAAGTGACTGCAATGGAAAATATCTATTTTCACATTCTTATTAGGTGATGGGGCATAGAAATACTGCCTTGCAGAGTGGAAGCAAGAAAACTTTCAGTATGGAGAGGAGGGAGAGCAGTTTTCAGACTACATCCTTCAGTCTCAAGGAATGCATTTTTGTGTCATTGTTTTTAAGAGATTAAAAATGAAACAAAGCATTTTTTCCTTGGTTTGAAAAGTCTCAAACAGGGTATACCTTCCCAGTTGTATTTAAATGTGCTTGGAAATGGAAGCTGGACTGAGTAGAAGCTTATGCATTTGTATTTTAAGGAGTGATGTGATGGAATTGCCCTCTATAGAAAGCAAGTCTGCTGGCACGATAGATTCTTTACAATAGTCTTGTCTTCAGGACAGTCTGTCTCAGCTGTAGAGGTACTAAGGATAAACCTTCTCTCCTTACTGGGACTTTGTATGACTGCGTACCAGTGACCTATTATTTCTGTTTATGGTATGCTCATACATATATTACAGTATGTTGAAAATTTTCTTCACAGTCGTAAGAATTAAACTTTTGTTTGCCTGTTTTAATTAAAACGTAGAGCCTGGAAAAAGTGATAGGAGACATTTTGGCTAGTTAGCCTGCTGCAAATGAACTGGTACTCTTCACATGCCTGTAGTAGAACAGAGGTATTTATTTCCCTCTCTCTTTTTTCCTTCTCTGAAACTTTTCATAATTCAATTTTAATGAAAAGTGGGCTTTAGCATACTTAATGTGTTTCTAAGGATGGTGTATAGTAATGCTGCCAGGAGGGACTTCAGGGGGTAAAGTACTAGTATAGCCCTCTGGGAGTGTGCACATTTACAATGTAAGCTTCACGTGCTTGCAGTGAGCACAGCTAGGTTTTAATATTCAGTGCCTTTGTAATGGTGTCATTGTATTTTTAATGAAAGTTCTGTGTCTTTGATTACAAGAGCATGAATACTCTATATTTAGATTGCTTTCTTATGGCAGTAAGGATACATGATTGCATGATTTCTCTATCAGTTTCTGTCCTAAGAATTTTTATGTTGCTCAGCTAAACTGAATCTTGTTTTCAGACTCCTTTACTTCTTTTAAATAAGATTTGGCTCCTATAAATTCAAAGAAAATTGGTGGCAGGACAGAGGAAATATAACCATATGTACACCTAGGGAGAACTGTCACTTAGTACTCAACAGGAATATATGTTCTGAAAGATAATGCCCAACTGACCATCCTAAAGACACATATTGGTTGTCCTGTGAGAGCACACATATATTCAAGGCAGACAAACAGCTAAGGGATATAGGAGTGTGTGGGGTTGTTGGGGATGTGGAAAGAACTGGGTATTTGAGCAAGATGAAGAGACAGCACCATGCAAGAGGAAAGACCATGCAGAAGAACTGGGGTTTGTGTGTATCGTGGTCTAACCCCAGCCAGCAACTAAGTGCCACATGGCCCCTTGCTCACTCCCCCACCAGCAGAATCAGAGAGATAGCTAGAAGAGTAAAAGCTGGAAAACTGTGTTCAGAACAAATCCAAAATGCAGCCATGTAGCCACTGAGAAGAACGTTAACTCTACCCCAGCCAGAACCAGCACAGTGTTGTAGACTACAGACAGTAATCAGTGAAAATCCAGACTACCTTAATTCTGCAGACTGAAAGCACATTATTTAATGCAAATCCAAGTGACAGTCATGTCACAGTAGTACACTTCGTAATCTACATGAGCATTTTAGGGTTAGAAGTGAGCTTTTGAAACAAATCTATTTCTACTCACTGCATTTTGATTGTGTCATGAAGCAGTCTCAGAATAAACAAACAAAGTAGTATTCCTTTTGGATTAAACTAGGTGGCAAGATAATTTCAGGAGCGCACCTAATGCTCTCCAGCAACTAGTGGGTGTTCCAGTCCATAGGATCAGAATAGAACTAGTCCAAAACAGAGTCCCTTGTAATGCATATGTGGACATTGGTTCCCTGCCATTAATGAACAGATCCATTCCTGATTTAGACATCTTTGAAGTTGTCAGAGTCACAAGAGTTTGTGTTCAGAACTGATACTTTTATGTTAATCCATTACTTAGATGGCCGACAATTTACTACCACAGTATCTCAGAGCTTAATAATTCAAAGCATATTTACCTTTACATGTGCCACATTTCACAGGTAACATTTATTTTCTGTGGATTAGGGCAAAACCCTAGGCCACATGTGAAGTCCAAGGCAGAACCAGGACTTGAAACTTGTTTCCCAAAGCGTAGTGTATGTGAAAAAATATTATGTTATCCTTCCATCTTATTAAACAGCTTTTCACTGGCCACGTTTTGTTCTCGCAA